AAAGAAAAACCAACTCTTAATACAAAAGAAACATCATTAATACAAAGAAAAAAGAATCTTTTAGTACAAATATGTCAACGTTATTCTGAAATTTCTAACGAAACAATAATCCTATTGCATCGTTTTTAGAACAATGAAATAATTGAAAGTACAAAAAGTCTGAAGTATTATGAAAATTAAGTATAAAAGGTGATAATGATAACAATGAAAATAATGTTAAAACTCAATCATAGTGAAATTTATGTTAGTACGAATACTATCCATTAATCAAATAATTGTATATTAATTGATTCAATGAAATTGTATTCATATTTGAATATAAACTTAAATTCAAACACTTGAACTTATGAATTATAATTAATTGACTACATAGCATGACGCGCTTCGTCGTTACAAACGACTTCTTCAGATGCTTATAGAATAATGACGTCATGCTATGTAGTCAATAAAGTGTGAATCCTAGGTTCAAGTGTTTGAATTTAAGTTTATATTCAATTGTAATGGATTTACATCAAGTAAACGCCAACACTATTGAATATTGTATTCATATTTTGTCATGATTTTGTATAGCGCGTCATATATTCGAATGATAAAAACCATATAAACATCCTTATGATTGTCGCTTGGAGTGTCAATAGATGTTAAAACCAGATCAATGCTGATAATTTCAATTTCATAAGATTTCATAAGATCAACATAAAATTTCAAATTTCAACACTAAAAGTTTTCTTCTCAGTTTTTACTTCTATTGATAGTCCGAAACTGCCTATTTCAAATTTTTTTTTAGTGAGGAAAATTGTGTCAATAATGTGTTCCGATGAGATGTGTGATATAACGGAAGGTTACTTCAACATTCATTACGTCCGAACTCGTAGTAAACGTTTACGAATGAATTTCTATGTTGGGAAACAAAAGAATGATAAATCCCTGCACTAAAGTTTAGTGGAACAGAGCGACATATCAGTTCATACCTGACATATCTAAATTCATTACACGAGAAGATCAAATTCACGGTAGAAAAGGAACAGAATAATTCGTTGAATTTTCTTGACCTTACAATTTCCAAACGACAAGATAAATTTTCGTACAAAATATTCAGGAAACCTACCTTCTCTGACGCCATCATAAATTTCAATTCGTTCAGTCCAATAAGCCACCGAATCGCAGCTCTCAATTCAATGATCCATAGGGCTTTTTCGATTCCCTTATCAAAACAAGACCTCAGAGATGAACTTAATGTGATTCGTACGATAGGTAGGAACAATCAGTTCCCACTGAAAATAATCAATTCACTTATTATAAAGAAAGAAAAACGCTTCATCAATAGACTTTTATATAGGCCACACTACATCAATAATGACAGAAATGAATTAAGATATGTGAGCATCCCTTATACACACGTTCCCTTTTCAAAAATCATTGAGTTCTTCAAAAATAATAATTTAAATATAGCATTTTCAAGTCACAGCAGATTGGATAGAATGATCTTTAATAACAAATTGTCTGAATCAGAGCCAATGAAGAAGTCTGGAATTTATAGATTGGACTGTGAAGAATGTGAGTCGTCATATGTTGGCCAGACCGGAAGATGTTTTGAAACTAGGCTAAAAGAACACGTAAAAAACGGACAATCTGCTTTTCGGGAACATCTAGAGTCGACAGGACATAAGATCTCAAGTTGTTTTAAACCTAAGATACTTCATTTCTGTGAAAAAGGAATTAAAATGAACTACCTGGAAGCCATGGAAATAAATAAACTTCAAAAATCCGATAGATACAGTCTTCTTAATGACCAGTTAGACCTAAACCACTCACCGCTGTTAAATCTCTGATAATTTGGAAACCCCCACCTCTATGACGAAATTTAAGGTGGCCCGAACAGATCTGCAAAATATTTATAGGTTGTCTTTGTAATATGTATTCATTCTTGATAATGCTGTAAAAGGCGAAACTACTCGAATAAAGAATTGTTCAGTCAGTGATTTTTAGACAAGTTTTTTTATTATTACTTCTCATTTGAATATTTTTACATCTTTAATTCAGCTTATTTTAAGAAACACATTCCTCTTTGATGGTTTTTGGCCATAGCTTTTATACCTAGTTAGCCGTAAGTTGTAAATCATAATTTTTATTAGTACAATTGTATAAACATCTTTTTCAGAGTCCTGATGAAGACTGTAAACACAGTCGAAATATAGACCAGGCAGACAAATTGGATAAAATATATTCATAGTGGCCTTTTATTTTGCCTATAACCCACAACATTTGTATATATATATATATATATATATAACCTCCAAGCATCTTCTATACAAGAAGATGCTTGGGGGTTGAAATCGTTGCCTCACTTCGATGGACGTGGTGCGACTGACGAGTTCCTTTCAGAACGAAACATATATGTCTCGCACTTCAATCACGTGTGGCATCGATTTCAATATTTCTCTAACATTTATCCCTCGAAGGATAGTGGAGACATCACATCGTACACGTTCACATATCTAGCTCTACTATAACATTCTCTTGATTAAATAAAATTTTTCAAATGAATGTTCTAGTGTTCATTTTCTCATATATATATATATATATATATATATATATATATATATATATATATATATATATATATATATATATATATATATATATATATATATTTATGTATTTTCAAGATTCACAAATCATTCATACTAGTGAATACTGAGACTTAATTGAGATACCGAAATATTTGAAATGAAACAATCAGGGAGCTGTCTACACAAATATTGTCAACGAGAACGGAATATCACTTTCGACAGTGAATATTAAGTTCTTCGAAAAATCATCGATCTTTTCAAATGATAATAGGATAAATTGTTTCAATTTTATTATGAATCATTAATTCTGTTTCAATCAATCAATCAATCAAGAATCGATGACTTCCAAAACTCCCTCAACTTCAAAACGCAGGTCCTATATCCGAAGGAGAAGAACATCACTTCGTGATCTTTCACGTGAGTCCGACTTTCGAAGAAAAGACGTTATAACCCTCCCCTAGGTTCTAAATTACTACTCAAGGCAACATTAGTAGGAGTAATTTTTAATATTCACTCTCGAAAGTAATAGGTTCGGTCTCATTGACAACATTTGTGTAGACAGCTCCCTGAGTATTATATTGGAAATATCTCGATATTTCGATTAAGAGACTCAGTATTCACTAGCATGAATAATTTGAACCTAGCTATCTTTTTGTCCGCCTGGGTGTGATCTGCAGCGATTTGGCATGGGACTATTCCTACAGATTGCAGAAAGATTTCTGTTGTGTTCGAATGGAATGTCTACGAAGCCTCTACGCACTCTTAATAATTTTGTCATAAGTAGGAATCCAGAACGCTCGGAACAGTTTATACGTCTTTTCGCCGAAAGAGGGAGCTCACGTGATCAGTTCACGAAACTAATAATCTCCTCATTCGGATATAAGAACTGGAGGCATTTTGAAAGTTATCGATTTTTAAATGATTGATTAAATAAGGACTGATGATTTCTAATAATGATTCAACAATTGTATTCTATTATCATTCGACAAGATAATTAATTGTTCGAAGAGCACTTAGTATTCACACTGGAAAGTGATAGGTTTGTTCTCATTTATGAGAACGTTCGTTGAGACATTTATGTGGTCAGCTCCCTGAGAGTTTTATTGGAAATATTTCTATTGAGAGTTTGAGTATTCAGTTATTCACTATATATATATATATATATATATATATATATATATATATATATATATATATATATATATATATATATATATATATATATATATATATATATATATATATACATAAGTATCTCTTTCTAATTCTGTTTTGTTTGTTCTATATAACATTAATCAAATTGTGGCATAGGTATTTTATGAGTTACATTACATTGTAATTCTACAAAATTGGAGTGCGATCTTTGGTTTTCAAGAATATGCTTGTAACAGCTTATATTCAAAAAACTATATATCTAAATAATGATCAATTTGTTTTTGTCATTAATATATTTCATGATACATCAAATTGTTTTAATTAGATTACATGTTTGTGAGAAACTTCTAGGACAAAAAAATTATGGATAATTCTCTGAATTTTTTCGAAATATTCATTGAACATCTTGTACACTACGCACAATTTCTGAAATTCTGTTTTCTGGTTCATTCTGCAATTTTATAGTATCCCAATTGGAGATTCAGATTTACTTTATTTATGTTACCCTATTAAAAATTCACAGTGTCAAGGATCTTATTATCCGATTTGACTCCATGATCATTTTGTACAGAGAGAAGACATGTTTTGTTTTCTGTATAAACTTGTAGGAGGAACGGAAATCCATTTTTAACTTGTTTCCTACGCCAAGCTTCGAATGCTTGGCATTGAATACGAAGTGGGATCTCTATTTTATTTCAAGCTATAGAGAGCGGGCGGTGAACATTAATGTTCGGGTCGAGTTTCAGTTTTAAACTATCAGATTGTTTCGTCTAGATTATTTAAGGGCCATCATGAATGTGGTAAATTTAAGTTAAGAAGTTTCTTAGCTAGAGCTGCTGTAAAGTTTTATACTTATCTCATCCTGCCAGTATTATAATCGAAGGTAAACAAAACCTGCAATCACTAGCTAAATGAGTTGAATTTTACTTAGTTTGAAATATCATCTTATTGTTTCTGGATCGGTTCCATGACCCAGTTTGGAAAGTTGGATAAAAAAAAGTATATCAAAACGGAATCAATTCAAGTGCAAGCCAATTATTATTCAGATATATCTTATGATTATAAATATTAGTCATATGGGAGAAATTGTGTTACCATAGGTTCCTGCATATTATGTTTGGACAGGATTATAGTAATTTTTTTTTCAATTCAGTGGACCAACAGTTTAACGCCGGTTCCGAACAGCCATTGGGCTTGTAATCAATGTACATTACCCAGCATATATCATTATTATTCAAACTACTTAAATCGTAGACGAACACAAAACACCCATGCCTTCAGCGGGGCTCGAACCCGAGTTTTACCGAACCATAGTCGGGTGTTCTGCCGACTAAGCTACGGGATTGGCTTGTACTCTTTTATTTGCCTGCATAAATTATTTCTTTAAAAGATGAGAAAGCTTGAGTTTTATGAAGGGATATTGAGCGTCATATGGTTCGTTACAGAGAAAAATTAGGTTGTATTGAATAACTTTCTCTATTATAACATCATATAGGTTTCAATGTAAAATGTAAATTTCAAGCTTTTATTCTATATTTCGAAATTTAAGATTTTAAATGTAAAAATAATAATATAATAATATGAGAATATAATAATAATAATAAAGTAAATTTATTGAGAAACATTCCTTACATTGTAGAATTACATTCATTTCAATTGATACAATAATTATAACTAAGAAGAATGTTCTCAAAAGGACTGAATTCAGTTTTGATTATGATCTTCCATTCAACCCTCGAGCAAAAATATTGGTTCAAACAAAAATATTGGTTAAATTCATATTTACAATAATATACAATTTTGATTGAAAAGAAAGGAAAATAAAAATTTCCTCAGAGATATTAAACATTTGAGACAATTTCACATGGTGAAGAACATTAGTGTTAAAAAAGTATACGAATATATGATACATAAAATTGATTCATACATTATTGCCTACATTCGAATCATCGAAATACTCTGCCACACCATAGTTTGCCTTTGTTAAATGAGCTTTCAGTACTTTCAAATTCGATGGTTGATGGTTGAAAATTTTAATACTCTGATAATAGTGAGAGTGCCCAAATTTAGCTGTTTTATGCATAGGAATAAGTAGAACATCCCTGTTCCTTGTTGAATACTTATGATTACTCCTCAATTTAATAAACCTATCTTCATTTTCTCTAGCATATAACAAGCATCTATAAATATATAAACACGGTAAGGTGAGTATGTAATTATAAATGAAGACAGGTTTACAAGATGTTTGTTGATGAATATTGAATATCAATCGATGTATTCGCTTCTGTATGTATAATAAATACCCTATTTATTTCTGTAGAGCGGCCCCACAGCAAAATACTATAATTTAGATGACTATATTCAAGACTGTTATACACATTCATAACACAGTTTCTAGGTACGATGTTCTTAATTCTAGAGATTGCAAAACATAAGACCTCAATGTGTAATGTCCATCTCAAATTTCTGTCTACATATATTTCAAGAAACTTTGTTGATTGGGATGATGATGATGATGTTGTCCCCGTATTTAACATCCAAGGTACTTATACCATTGCTCTTTAGACAAAAATGTACACATACAGTTTTGTCAACGTTCACCATCAGATTGTTCATTCGACACCAACTTACAAACTCCCTCACAATGCATGCACATACACACATTAATTTCACAAACATATATTCAAATGAATTTCGAATTGGATGTGTGCACTGGAATTGTAAAATAATCACACACAATGTTGATAAAATGGTCGTTAATCTCTTGGTGAAACATCTTTCAATATATTGAATAAAAACAAAACAATTGTCGAGCGAATAATATAACTTTTGTTAAACCAAAGCAAGTGCTTTTTATTCTTTATATAATGACAAACATATTGAATTCGACATTGCAATAGAAAAAGTTGAAAACAATAATAACATCAAACAGAAGAAGTTATCAAAAAATAGGTATCTACATTATTATATATCTACATATGTATAAGGTTCTTGATGAAAAAAGTTTCCTAAGCGTATCCTCAAAAATTTTCCTAAATGTATCCTCATACATAACATAGAAAAGACTGGTCGCATAAAAATACTCCTTTTCCTTTTTTAAGTCTTATCTCATTTGATTTGGATGAATATGAGGGTTGTAAATACATACATATACTCAAACTATCAATCAATTACGAAAAAAAACACCACAGTAAAAGATTGACGAATTAAAAAAAAAATCATAAACAATTTAGAATCATGATTTGACATTAATAACTTACGCTAATGAGTTATCAAAAAATTGAAGTTCGGTCAAAATTATCGATGAACGAGATAATCTCATAGCATTAACCATCATTTCTTTTTTTGTAAATTTTTTTTTGGTTCGTCATCTTTCGACATTACCCATTCATATCATTCATTTATTCAACCGCTGAAACTCATTTACATACACAAACGCATATGTCTTTTCCGGGGTACGAACCCAGATCTCCCTCGTGAGGGTCTGTCACTCTCCCACTACGCTACAAAGACGACTCATTAATTCTTAACAGTTGGTAACATTCATAGAAGCCGTAAAAAGGATTTTACCTTAGTAACCTATAAAAAACAATCTAAAAAAGCGAGTTTTCGTAAATTTCATAAACAACCGTATGAACATATAAAAATGTGAAGACAAATATTGAACAAAAAAAAATTTTTCTGTTGAGTGTGTGAACGGACGAAACATTAAATTCGTTGAAAAAATTAAATATTTGAAATATCAATATGGCATAAGAGAAATATGAGGTTATCCATGAATCAGTAATAAGAAATGACGAAGATGCAAAACGTTTTGGAAAAAAGATAATATATAAATATAAATGTTTCGAATGTACTACAATTCATAATTGACACATTCGAAAATATATCTTAATGAGAAAACAACAGCATATGATACCTTAGAACATAAAGACGTCAGAGGTATAGCGGTCACAAATATAACCATATAATGCAAATCCATAATTTCAAGACATGGATGGAATCAAGAATAGGAATGGAATGTATGTACTACACGCGTAAAAAATTATCTGAAAAATTTCAGAGCATTCATTTCTTAGTAACGAAGAAAAGGAGGGTAGGATTCATTCAACCATTAGCTTACGAATATGAGTAGATTGATGGTACTCTTTACGAAACATATGTCAAACTTCAATATGTCTAGATCTCGAAACCTCCAAAGGTTGATGTTATTACGTACTTTCTTCAGTGGAGGTAAGAAGACTGTTGGAATGATTTTATTATATTTTGAATGTTGAGTGAAGCGTCCATTGATGTTATCGCAGTAATCAATTAACTAAACAAATTCCTATTAATTCCCTCAAGAGGGATTCATACCATTCACAGTTGGATTTTTCCATCTTAGCTCAACAACGGAAAGATATCTCCCTAATCTCTCATTACCTTAATAACATACGGTGTAATTAGCCCGCTCCGTAGAGTGGAAACGACTTGTCTGGCAAATTGTTACGTCTCACCCTCGGCCGAGGTAGCCAGAAAGGCTGAAGGCGGGCAGATATATAATCACAACATCCAGGTTCCATCCGGCCTACATAATTAGTGTTGTAATCGCCCCGCCGGTGCATTTCACCGCTGTTCTCATTACTAACGCTGAGCGTGACGTTCGCAAACTCTTGGTACACTGGCCCACACCCACTCCACCGTCTACGCTTTAATTGCTCCGGATCATCCCCACCCTTACGATTTTAACCCCTTTCATTTAACTTGTGGCGAGACGTTTCCAAACACTTGGGATAAATCACCATCGTTTAACGGAGATCGCTCGATCGGTGAGGAAATTGTAGCAACCTGGAAATCCACTTTATTCCGGTAACTGCTCTAAGGCCTTGTAAAAACGGGATTATGAGGCAAAGCACTTAATATCTTCGCAGTCACCTTAGAAATTCGGTTTCATCATTAAGAGAGGAATTATATCATTATATATTCATAATTACTGGAATCAAATAATTATTATTTGATGCGGCTCCGGCTTGTTACGTAATCATTCAGTACAACCAGAACAGTGGGAGAATCATATTCACTATAGTTTTGAATTTCAGAATGAATTTTTTTTCGATTAGTTTCGATATTTTCATTCATCTTCAGGCGGAGGTCCCAGATGAATTGTTGAGTTCCATTTCAGTTACACGTTTTCAGAGTTTTGGTGTAAAACGACTTTTCGTTTTGTATTGTATCTTGTGAGACTGTATTTGTATCTTCCTTCTGCTGGTGTTTTAGAACGAGCAAGAATGAATTGATGCGACAATTGGAACCATACTCAGAGAAAAAAATTGAGCGAAAAAAATTGAAGTGAATACTAAATTGAAGTAAATAAATAATTCACTTCAAATATGAATGTGGTTGTCCATTCAATTTGACCTGTCTCACATATATTAACTAGACATGCCACGAATATTCGGCTACTATTCGGTATTCGGCCTATTCGGCCACTTTGCTGGGTATTCTGTATTCGACCGAATGATAGATACTATTCGGCCGAATACCGAATACCAAATCATGGAAAAAAAGACACATCATATCAATCAAGATTTGTATTTATTATCAAACTACAGTACTTTAGTAAGTAAAATTAATGAGCGGTAAGTTGTGATGGATAAAAACAAGCTTTTCAGCATTAGACGGTAGCGAAGGATTACGCTTTTCGTCGTAAATGATACCAGCTTCCGAAAACAACCTCTCACTATACACGCTACTCCCGGGAGAAGAAAGATAAACTTTAGCAAATTTCGAGAGGTTTGGGTATTGTTTTTCATGACCACCATTTGTAAGGATCAGCTTTCCGATCTAGGCGATTTGATTTCAAATAAAAATCCATCTCATTTGCCACAGTATTCTTCTCCACGTTCTCCTCATCATTACTATTTCGCATATTATCTTTGGCGACTTCCTCAAAGCAGTTCCAGAAACTGTCGTGTATTTCAAATGACTTATCATTTTCGTTCAAGTTTCTTCTCTTACAACGTGGAGAAGAATCGTCATCGGTACTACTAGACTCATCATTACAACTTAGTTTCAGAGCTTCTAGAAGAATTTTTTGTCTTGCTCTTTCTGCTTGAACTAAACCTGGAAAACTTGTTTTGAAGCAGGGATCAAGAAATGTAGCGACCAGATATTTGTTTTTTTCATCAAAATTAAATCGCTTTTCAAGCTCGGCTTGTAGTGAAGATCTCATTGTCACTAAATTTGGTACTCTCTCAGCCGTCTCTGCTTTTCCTAAATATTTTAATAAAGTAACTGCATGTGGAATCACTTCAGAGATGCAGGAGATACCTGAGCTGGTTATTTTTGTAATCTCTTCGTATGGTTTGA